GTTTTTCCAGTATATATTTATATTCGGTGAAAAGCTCATTAGAGCTTATGCTTAATTTGTTTGTCAATATAATGATCCAAATAAAGTTTTAACAGTTGCTTACTTTTCCGATTTGGGCAACTAAATAAAAAATTGCTGTGGAACCAAAACCCCAAAAAGGAAATAAGACTTTGGATCAAAATCAAGAGTGTAAAAATGTCATCTTCTATCCAGATGATATTATTCACAAGAGATGTAAATTTATCCTCATTCAAAAAGTTTATAAAAGTTGATCCGAGATTGCTAGAACACGATATAATATATTATCACTTCCCTGAAAAAAAAAAACAAGATTTTTGAAATCATAATGTGCAAATTTCAAACATAACTCATTTTTGAAAATTGTAAAGGCCAAGTGCATTAGGATCTGTCAAGACACCAAAATGCCAATACGACCCAAACAATTGGATAAACCCATTAGGAGTTGTCACCCTTAAATGATGATTGTAACTAATTTTTACCATGTTGCCAATTATCTCAAGCTGTAATAGATATATGGAAACTGTAAACAGGAAAAATGATGAGCCATATAAGATCTACAAAAATGCCAAAATGACCAAATCATGGGCAGATGGGTTGATTCCCTAAGACACCATCACAAGTTAGGTGATTAATCCCTTTTTATACGACCGCAAAAAAATTTTTGTGGTCGTATATTGGTATGACGTTGGCGTCGTCGTCGTCGTCGTCGTCGTCGTCGTCGTCGTCGTCGTCGTCGTCGTCGTCGTCGTCCGGCGTCGTCGTCCGAATACACATTAGTTTTCGCACTCTAACTTTAGTTTAAGTGAATGGATCTCAATGAAATTTTACCATAAGGTTCAATACCACAAAAGGAAGGTGGGGATTGATTTTGGGGGTTATGGTACTAACAGTTAAGGAATTAGGGGCCAAAAAGGGGCCAAAAATAAGCATTTTTGTAACTTCCAGACATAACTTGTGTGTAGGTATATGGATCTCTCTGACATTGTACCACAAGGTTCCATATCACAAAAAGATGCTGGGATTGATTTTGGGGGTAATTGCCTCCAAATTTTAGGAATAAGGGGCCAAAAAGGGGCAAAAAACAAGCATTTTTCTAGTTTCATGACAATAACTTGTGTGTAAGTGTATGGATCTCTCTGACATTGTATCACAGGGTTCCATATCACAAAGGGAATACTGGGATTGATTTTTCGGGGTAATTTCCTCCAAATTTTGGGAATTAGGGGCCAAAAAGGGGCAAAAAACAGGCATTTTTCTAGTTTCAGGACAATAACTTGTTTGTAAGTGTATGGATCTTTATGAAATTGTACTGCAAGGTTCCATATCACAAAGGGAAAGCTGGGTTGGAGTTTGGGGGTAATTGCCTTAAACGTTTAGGAATTAGGGGCCAAAAAGGGACAAAAAAAACAAGCATTTTTCTAGTTTCCAGACAATAAGTTGTGTTCAAGTGAATGGATCTCTCTAAAATTGTACTGCAAGGTACCATACCACAAAGGGAAAGCTGGGATTGAGTGTGGGGGCGATGAATCATAAGGGGGTTCAAAAAATTTGGGGGGGGGATTTTTTTTTCCTTTTTTTTCTTTAAAATTTTCCATTTTAAATTGGTTATTTCTGATTTATATATAAAAGCAAATAATAATGATATGGTTTGAATAGCATACATGTGAACCTCCCGACAGGAGTACAATAATCCTGTTTTCAGGAGTCTCCTCCCGACCTCCGGTTGAAGAGGAAAATTATAATCCCGTGTATGAAATTTTTCATGAATGAAAAATTTCTGCCCAACATATCATCTCAGGCATCTGGTGTAACTCACATTACCTGAAGTTATATTTTACCTGTAAATCAATTAACATGCATAATTATATGGCTTCACTTGTCAGCTTGGGTGTCAAACATACTGGTAATCAATGATTTTTTACCTCAGGCTAACTGCCGTTGTGTAACAAAAACTGTGTATTTATTGGGTTACTTCCCTTGATTTATCCTGTTTTAAGTTACTTTCCTTTTAATAATGAAAATTTTTAAAAGAATATAAATAAAATATAAATTGAACAAATAATCATAAAAGGATGGTAAATAAATGATTTTAAATGTCTTAGGACAAATAAAAAAATAATAATTTGAAAATTATTTGAGGATTCTATACTTCCTTTCAAGGCTTAAATTGAAATTTATATAATAACTATGACCCTTGTTTAACAGTTAGAATGATTTTCTGAGTATGCAAACAAAAGCTATTTGCAGATAGTTAAACAAATGTTCTGGTTGCAATAAATGTTTTATAGAATATGAAGTAAAAAATTTAAAGAACATACTGAAAAAAAAAAATGTTAGATTGAACATGTAAAATATAAAGATGGAGAAACTTTATAAGTACAAGGGTACTATAAACATAATAAATTGGATGGAAAGTTGAAGAAAACACACTTTAAAAGACCATTTTTACAGCACACGGTTACATTTACGACAAAATTTATGTCGATTAAAAACCTCCTGATCTGAGTCCTAATCTCCTGACCAAAATTTCCCAATCTCCTGATCTGAGTTTCACAGTCCATCACATGTATGAATAGGTAAATTAAAAAATTATAAGTTCTTAGACCACTTTCATTCTGTGTCAGAAACCTATGCTGTGTCAAATATTTAATTACAATCCAAATTCAGTGCTGTATCAAGCTTGAATGTTGTGTCCATACTTGCCCCAACTGTTCAGGGTTTGACCTCTGCGGTCGTATCAAGCTGCGCCCCAGCGGAGCATTTTATTGGATTCTGTGATTTGGCAGTTTATTATGTAGTGTTTTGGGGACTTTGTTTTTCTTTGTGTAGCTTTAGGTTTTTTGCGATGGCGTTGTTGGTTTCTCTTTGATCAATTTATGAGGGTTTTTGTCGAGCCTGCGACTTTTGTCGCAGAAAGCTCAACATAGGGATAGTGATCCGGCGGCTACGGCGGCGGCGGCGTTAGCTAACTTCTTAAAAGCTTTATATTTAAGAAGCTAGAAGACCTGGATGCTTCATACCTTGTATATAGATGCCTTATGATATGAAGTTTCCGTCTATCATGTGTCCATTGTCCTTGACCTCATTTTCATGGTTCAGTGACTACTTGAAAAAAAAATTCAGATTTTTTGTAATGTTTATTTCTTTCTTATTATGAGTAATAGGATAACTAGATTTAGTATGTGTGTACATGTACCTTGTAAGGTCCTCATGTCCGTCAGACAATTTTCATTCGACCTCAACCTCATTTCATGGATCAGTGAACAAGGTTAAGTTTTCATGGTCAAGTCCATATATCAGATACTATAAGCAGTAGGTCTACTATATTTAGTATATGGTATGATTGTAAGGTGTACATGTCCAACTGGTAGGTGTCATCTGACCTTGACCTCATTTTCATGGTTCAGTGGTCAAAGTTATTTTTTTTAGTTTTGGTCTTTTTTTCTAATACTATATGCAATAGGTCAACTATATTTGGTGTATGGAAATATTTTATGATGTACATGTCAGTCTCGCAGGTTTTATTTGACCTTGACCTCATTTTCGCAGTTCATTTCTCACTGTTAAGTTTTTGTGTTTCGGTCTGTTTTTCTTCAACTATAAGCAATAGATCAACTATATTTGTTGTATGGAAGGATTGTAAGGTGTATATGTCTGTCTGGCAGGTATCATCTGACCTCGACCTCATTTTCATGGTTCATTGGTCAATGTTAAGTTTTCATGGTTAAGTTTGTTTCTTAGATACTATAAGCAATAGGTCAACTATATTTAATGCATACATTGATTGTAAGGTGTACATGTCTATCTGGCATGGTTCATCTGACCTTGACCTCATTTTCATGGTTCATTGGTCAATGTTAAGTTTTCTTGGTTAAGACTGTTTCTTAGAAACTATAAGCAATAGGTCAACTATGTTGGTTTATTGAATGATTATAAGGTGTACATGTTTTTCTCGTTTGGTTTATCTGACCTTGACCTCATTTTCTTGGATCATGTTAAGATTATTTGTTACTTGTAGTAAAGCTTTATATTTAGGACTATCAACATAAAATCAATAGTTAGGAAAGAAGGCGAGACATTTCAGCGTGTGCACTCTTGTTTTGTAAGGGGTGCGATTCAGGCTCTTAGGAGACTCTTGTTTGTTGGAATTGTCTGTTTTAAGTTTTAAGGGAAAAAGTGAAGTTACTATTAATCAGACCAACCACTTTTTTGTAGTTTAATTTTGTTGTATTTCCAGTTAAATATCTCCCCTGTTTTTGACCTATCATTATTAAAAAAACTTGAATTACTTTCAATGACAATGATGAAACATTATCTGTATTTTTATATGGATGGCTCATACTTTAATTACAGGATTATCTTCAATGGAAATACATTGGAAAGTTCAATATCTTTATATTAAACACTATATTTCTCCTAGAAAAAAATGTTTGGATAAATGAAAAAAAAAGATTTGCTACCCATTTATAGACAAACAAAAACATGCTTTTAATGTCAAAATCTGTTGTGGTAGGCATGAAAATTTAGGGTAGGTAAAGAGGGGAATAATGTAACTTTGATTTGACCTTGTCAGGTTTTGAACTAGAAATGCAACATATTTATTTTCTAAGACTTACAATGCCTAGATGCATGTGTAGGAGAAAGCACTAAGCATTCTGAATGGATGATATATTCATTTATGTGAACCCTGAACAGAGGGTATATTCATTTATGTTAACCCTCAATGGATGGTATATTCATTTATGTTAACCTGAATGGATGGTATATTCATTTATGTTAACCTGAATGGATGGTACATCTTGGTATTGAACTAGTTGTTAATATTTTTTCAAGACTTGGAAAATCTGATTTTTGTCAAGCCTGCAACTTTTGTCGCAGAAAGCTCGACATAGGGATAGTGATCCGGCGGCTACGGCGGCGGCGGCGGTGTTAGCTAACTTCTTGAAAGCTTTATATTTTAGAAGGTAGAGTATCTGGATGCTTCATACTTTGTATATGGATGCCTCATGTTACGAAGTTTCCGTCAGTCCAATGTCCTCGACCTCATTTTCATGGTTCAGTGACAACTTGAAAAAAAAGTTAAGATTTTTTGTAATGTTAAATTCTCTCTTATTATAAGTAATAGGATAACTATATTTAGTATGTGCGTACCTTGCAAGGTCCTCATGCCCGTCAGACAGTTTTCACTTGACCTCGACCTCATTTCATGGATCAGTGAACAAGGTTAAGTTTTGGTGGTCAAGTTCATATCTCAGATACTATAAGCAATAGGTCTAGTATATTCGGTGTATGGAATGATTGTAAGGTGTACATGTCAAGCTGGCAGGTGTCATCTGACCTTGACCTCATTTTCATGGTTCAGTGGTTATAGTTAAGTTTTTGTGTTTTGGTCTGTTTTTCTTATACTGTATGCAATAGGTCTACTATATTTGGTGTATGGAATGATTGTAAGGTGTACATGTCCAACTGGCAGGTGTCATCTGACCTTGACCTCATTTTCATGGTTCAGTGGTTATAGTTAAGTTTTTGTGTTTTGGTCTGTTTTTCTTATACTGTATGCAATAGGTCTACTATATTTGGTGTATGGAATGATTGTAAGGTGTACATGTCTAGCTGGCAGGTGTCATCTGACCTTGACCTCATTTCATGGAACAGTGAACAAGGTTAAGTTTTGGTGGTCAAGTCCATATCTCAGATACTATAAGCAATAGGTCTAGTATATTCGGTGTATGGAAGGACTGTAAGGTGTACATGTCCAACTGGCAGGTGTCATCTGACCTTTTCCTCATTTTCATGGTTCAGTGGTTATAGTTAAGTTTTTGTGTTTTGGTCTGTTTTTCTTATACTGTATGCAATAGGTCTACTATATTTGGTGTATGGAATGATTGTAAGGTGTACATGTCTAGCTGGCAGGTGCCATCTGACCTCGACCTCATTTCATGGATCAGTGAACAAGGTTTAGTTTTGGTAGTCAAGTCCATATCTCAGATACTATAAGCAATAGGTCTAGTATATTCGGTGTATGGAAGGACTGTAAGGTGTACATGTCAAACTGGCAGGTGTCATCTGACCTTGACCTCATTTTCATGGTTCAGTGGTTATAGTTAAGTTTTTGTGTTTTGGTCTGTTTTTCTTATACTGTATGCAATAGGTCTACTATATTTGGTGTATGGAATGATTGTAAGGTGTACATGTCTAGCTGGCAGGTGTCATCTGACCTTGACCTCATTTTCATGGTTCAGTGGTCAAAGCTAAGTTTTTGTGTTTTGGTCTTTTTTTCTAATACTATATGCAATAGTTCAACTATATTTGGTGTATGGAAATATTTTATGATCTATATGTCAGTCACATAGGTTTTATTTGACCTTGACATCATTTTCAAGGTTCATTGCTCAGTGTTAAGTTTTTGTGTTTTGGTCTGTTTTTCTTAAACTATAAGCAATAGGTCAATTATATTTGTTGTATGGAAGAATTGTTAGCTGTACATGCCTGCCTAGCATGGTTCATCTGACCTTGACCTCATTTTCATGGTTCATTGGTCAATGTTTAGTTTACTTGGTTAATGTTAAGTTTATGTGACAGTTGTAATAAAGCTTTATATTTAGGACTATCAACATAATATCAATGATTAGTAAATAAGGCGAGACATTTCAGTGTGTGCACTCTTGTTTTATTAATGCCATTTTCTACTTTTTCAATTGCAGATAGACACAAAAGACAGCTACAACATAAATGGCTTAAAAGAACAGAATGGAGATGTTGATGTAAAAGTTGATGAAGATACTGAAGATAGAGGACAATGGGGCTCCAAATGGGAGTTCATTCTGTCTTGTATTGGACTTTCTGTAGGATTGGGAAATGTATGGCGTTTCCCTTACCTGGCCTATGAAAACGGAGGAGGTATTACTGTCAATCATGTTTAATAGCTGTTGATGTGTACTTTGATTAAATGATGAATAGAACTATTCATGGGTGATTTAAATTAACATAGATAATATAGTTAATCGAAATATATCTGATCAAATATTTTTTACAATACAAGCTGATAATCTCTAGATGGTAAGATATGTCTCAATAGACCAATTTTAAGTACATTTTGACGAATCAATTATGCCATAAATTGACTCAAGGTCAATCTGTAAATAATCTCATTGAACAATCTACTCTTACTGAAAGGTAATATTATAGGCATTGTGACATCAAAAATAATTCATTATCTCATTTTAGGAAATATTTTAAAGAATAAATGTACTGGTATTACATCTTTCATTTGACTAAATTAAGCAAAAAAGTTGATTGGACTTTTTTTTTTCAAAAGACAAAATCATATTCCACCTAAATGTTTTTGAAAAAATCTTAATCCTTTTGCATCTTAACTAGGTGTATATATATTTGAACATTGAATAGTTATGACTCACTAACAAACCATGTATGAAAGAACTCTTTGGAAAGTTTTGTAAATTAAATGTAGACATCTTAATGTCATGTTTTTAAAGTACATGTGTTACCAATGTGAAAACTGATTGAAATTCAAACATGTATTGAAATTATATCATGTACCAATGTAAAGATTAATTTTAGTCTGAAACTTAGCATGATATTAAATGTATTTAACAAGAAAACAGTAAGAACATGTAGACTAGATACATGTATATGTAAATTAACACCTACACTGCAGGTTTTTATTGATTTTCTAGCTTGTAATAGGTACATAGACTTTCGTTTAGAATAAATTCATTCTGTCTGACATGAAAATTTTGAACATTCTGATTTTTTTTATTGCAAATCACCTTTGTTCATTAGCTCTTTTTTTTCCTTTTCTCAAAGCCAAAATAAATGGAAGAGAAGAGTAACTGTAAGGAACCTAAATGATAAAAGTGTAATTAGCTGCCAGATTCATGCTAACCAAATTGACTCAGACACTAAATTTTATTTATTATTGAAGTTCAGGTTCTATAGGAAACAATACTTGGAATCATTATAAAGTATCAACATTTCATGCATATTGTGGGATTGTATACCATTGACACAATGTCTAATTAGCCATCAACACAAGTCACATGACACCCAAAGATTGCTGGTGAGAATGTGACATAAATACAAATAGACAAAACGTATGCACTATTTTAGCTAGTTTTAGTTTTGGATTTTATATCAAAGATAAAATAGTATTGTAAATTGTTTAACCTTTATAAGAGTTATTTTTGGACGGCTGAATCCATCAACAAAATAAGTCTTCTTACTGGTAGCCAGAGTTTCAATATCTGAACATGTGTCTTTGTGTTTTTGTGCTTTGTATCAATCTGATGAGTTAAACCTGTTTTCATCTGATTTATTTTAGTTTGTTCTTATGTTAGCTGTGCTGTTGCACCACTGTCCCAGTTTAGGGGAGGGTTGGTGCGCCTGCAACCATGTTTAACCCCGCCACATTCTGTTTGTGTCTGCCCCAAGTCAGGATCCTGTAATCAGTGGTTGTCGATTGTTGCTGTATATCATATTTGTTTTTTCGTTTATTGTTTTGTACATAAATCAGGGTAATAGTTTTCTTGTTTGAATGGTTTGACAATTGCCATTTTGGGCCTTTCATAGCTTGCTATGAAATATAGTTTTGCTCATTGTTGAAGGCTGTACAGGGACCTTATATTTGCTAACCTTCAACCTCATTTGGTCTCTGCATCAAACTTTTGTCTTGCATCAAATTATTGTCTTGCAAGACAACAATGTATCAGCAAAGTTTTTGAGCTTATTTTGACAAATTAGAAAAACTGACTGCTAATAGTGAATAGGGAGTTGTAAGGGGGAGGGTTATGATAAGCAGAAATGGTCAAGAACATATTCTTTAGTTAGATGTTAGTATGTTAGTTAGTTAATATGTTAGTTACTTGCTGAGGGTCAAGTTTAGCCCAGGAATGTCTCCACTAATGAAACTGATAGCCATGGAATCGAATAAACCTGAATCAAGTTCTCATTTTTTTTCAGTCCGATTAACCAACAAACAAACATATTATTCAAATAGTTGAGAATTTTATGATTGACATATTTTTTTCTTGATTTCAGCTGCCTTCCTGATTGCTTATTTGGTCCTACAGTTCCTGATAGGAAAACCAATGTACTTCATGGAGTTAGTTATGGGTCAGTATTCTGGTTTAGGACCAACAGGTGTTTGGAGGATGAACCCAAGTGCTAAAGGTAAGAAATAGTGTTTTTGTAGTAGTATTTGTTAGTTGATATTTCAGGTTTTGAAGAAAATCATTCATGGTTTATTATTTGTTTAATTTATAATTAGCGTTTCAATCATTCAAGTTTAAGGTGGAGTGTGGGGAGACACTTTTCAGAAACCCAAGCACTAACAAAACCAAATTTTCAAAATTCTACATAATTCGTAAAGATTTTTTGGATAAAAACAAAGCAACTATCGACAAGTTATTTATTTGAAGTGTTTCCTCATAATCCCCTAGAAACAGATTGTGTTTAGTGTGCTAATAACATGAAGGAATATATTAATTTTATTTGATAAACTTTATTGTTTTAATTGATCATGAAATCCTGCAACACTGTCACCCCACAAATGAATATACCTTATCAGTATGATCATAGTTTAGTTGAAGACCAAATATACACATTTTTAAGAATAATATCATCTTACTTTTAGGCAACAATCAAAATATTTAATAATACCCTAAATGAGCTGATTGAACTTGTGATGTACAGATTACAGGAGTTCTGTACATGTAAACCAATTAATTTTATCACACAATTTATTTTCAAGACTTTTAGCGTGTAGAAAAATAATGCAAACATAAATCATCGTGAATATGTAAAACTGGATCTTTTCTTATTTAACTACATGTACATCAAGTAAATTTGAAAATTGCGAAATGGACTATAAATCGCTAAACTCACAATTAAGTATGGGCAAAAATAAGTTGGTTTACAGTATGTGATGTTTGTAGGAAATACAAATAATTTGTAATCCAACTACTAAAACCCTTTCATTGTGGGTTTCGGCAACCTGGAATGATTTTTTCTTCTTGATCCTTGCCTTATGATATACACTTATATTATTGATCGACACCTGGTGGCTAGAGAAGTAGGCTTGTAATATTTTAGTACATATAAAATACCTTAGATGTTTTGTATTTCTAAATGTAAGAAAACTATTGGTGAAGAATTTTATGCAGATTTAATGTCTTGTAAATGGTGTTTTGTACAATGATTTATTACGTAATACAAAATTTTTTCAATTTCTTCATGTAATAAAATAATTTGTTTCATATTAAATATAAATGTCACGCAAATGTATTAACTTTACAGGTATTGGTATATCTATGGCTCTAATATCCTTAGTAGTCGCAATCTACTATAACGTGATCATGGCCTATACACTGATCTATTTCTTCTCCTCCATGCAGAAAACTTTACCATGGACTGTTTGTGAAGATGTAAGTACAGTTATGACATTGAACCATTTGAAAATGAACATTAAAAAATTTCTTGAGAGAACCGTTATACAAAAAATGGACCAGTTTCCACTGAATTAATATTTCTAGATAGTTGGAGGTGTTTAAAGTCAGGTTAAACACCCATAACTAAAGTAAAGTAATAAAATATTTTCTCAAACTCACCATGTTCACAGTGACAGCCTTCAAATGTGCACTATGAGTCTTGTGCAACATTATGACCCATATCGAACGCAAGACCAAATTATTAATGCCTGAAGATGACTAAGAACTGCCTGGATTGTGAACCAGTGTTTCATCAGTTAAGTACTGATATAAAAATAAGTAGATGTGGAATTATTGCCAATGAAACAACTATCCACCATATAAATGAATATAATGTGGATATAAGCAATTATAGGTCACCCTATGGCCTTAAAAAATGAGAAAAATACTGTATTGTCAGCTATAAAAGGCCCTCAATGAAACACATTAAGCAATGAATCTAGAAAACTAACTTAGGGTTTATCACTATTTATTCATAGACATTGGTGTATTCTCCTTCTGGATTTCATGTAATATTTTCATATAACACTCGATGTTAAACACTAATCATCATCATCATCGTCACAATTCTTTTAATATTTATAACCATTTTTGTGACAAGACCTAGATGTAGTAAACCCATCAATGTTTGTGTTGTAGGCATGGTTACCATTAGGATGTGTGGAGCAGTCGACACAGAAATTAGACTATTGTTCTATGAACATCACACAATTATTGAGTGATAACATGCCCTGTAGATGTTATTTGAACGAGACAGATACTTTATTGTCCAGCCAGGGATTTAACTGTTCCAATGTAACATACCAAGGAGATACTCCAGTACCTGTAGCACAGCTGTATTTTGAGTAGGTCATAGTATTCAAGGTCATAATGGAAGAAAGTCCTTCAAGTTTATAATTTTAACAGTAACTAAGCAGTCTGAATAGGCTGTTTAAAAAAAAACGAAATCAACAGTTTACCAAATACAGGTTAAAAAATTGACAAAATTATTGCAGTCATAATGTTATGACGTCGTCGTCGTTGTCATAGTCCTAAGACATTTGGTTTCCAGACAATAACTTGAGTATTAGTGTATGGATCTCTAGAAATTGTACCACAAGGTTCCATACCACAAAAGGAAGGTTGGGATTGATTTTGGGGATTATTGTCCTAACTGTTAAAAATAAGGGGCCAGAAAGGGGCATAAAACAAGCATTTTTCTTGTTTCAGGACAATAACCTTTTATAAGTGTATGGATCTCTATGAAATTGTACCACAAGGTTCCAGACCTCAAAAGGAAGGTTGGGATTGATTTTGGGGGTTATGGTTCAAACTGTTTAGGAATTAGGGCCAAAAAACCAAGATTTTTTCCGGTCAATAACTGGAGTATAAGTCTATGGATCTCTATGAAATTGTAACACAAGGTTCCATACCAAAAACAAAGGTTGGGATTGATTTTATGGGTAATGGCCCTAACCGTTTGGAGAAAAAGGGGCCAAAAACAATACTTTTCTTATACTTTGTATAAATTTCTTATTTCTTGACCAATTTCAATGAGGCTTAATTCAAAGTCTTGAATTCTAAGCTGAATCTTAACTGAGTATTTTGATTTTAGATTTTGGGCCCCTTTTTAAATTGGTCCACATTGAGGTCCTAAGGATCCAAAATTAAACTCTGATTTCATCAAAATTTGAATTATTGGGGTTCTTAATATGCTGAATCTTAGTGTAGATTTTTAATTTTGGCCCCTTTTAAAATTGGTGCACATTAAAATCCAAAGGGTCCAAAATTAAACTTTCAACAAAAATTGAATTCTTGGGGTTCTTTGATATGCTGAATCTGAACATGTATTTAGATTTTTTATTTTGGACCCGATTTCAAAGCTGCACTCTGTGAATCATTTTATTGTAATTGAATAACAGTTGTCTTTTGTACCACTACGACAATTCAAATCGTTTTGATATAAAACAGTAAGTTATCTAAGATTAATTACCCCCCCCCCCCCCCCCCTTTATAAAAAAAGATATGGATGGATTTATTTTGAACAATTTCTTTTTCAGTAAAACAGTAATAAACAAGGCTGATGATTTCTACCCAGATACAGGAAATCCACAATGGAAGCTTGCACTCTGTCTGCTATTATCATGGATTGTTGTTGTTCTCTGTTTAGTAAGGGGAATTAAGTCATCAGGAAAAGTAAGTTTAATAGTCTATAATGTATGAAATATTATGTGTGTAAGACAATACATCCAATTTGATAGTGCACCTTGGAGATGGAGGGGTGGGTGATCTCATTAATATTTGTTTAACCATTGTTAGCCTTACAAATTTATACATTATACATTTTGAAATGAATGGATATGTTGATCAGCAGAAACATTTGCTCATTCCTAAGCTAACAAGATTTATTTTGTTTTATTAATTCTTTAACTTTGTAATTGCCAGACAAACTTTCTAAGATTTTACTTTACCAACACCAATTAAGCCATTTTTCCATGATGACCATGAATACTGACAACATTGCCATTGAAAGTAACATTTGGAGATAAAACTTATTGGGTTTCTGTAAGAAGCACTCAACCTGGATGTTCTAACCCCAAATTTTCAAAGTAAAGAGTAAAGCATGACACCATCTGTTTTATATTTTTTTAGTTTCAAATATTTAGATATCGGTCCATTTAACAAATATTTAATTTTTAAAAAAAGTGAATCACAGGAATAATGCCTGCAGTTCATGGGAGTTATCTTCCTTTGTCTTCTTCAGATACATGAAACTAATAAATGTTATTTTCATTTATAGAATTTTCATAATGCATTCCATACAGGGGAATTTACATTTCCGATAAACAATTTTTAAAGAAGAAATTATAGGTAGCTTTTGATGTAACGTTGCATTTTCAACAAAATATCAAATTATTTGTAGGCTTTAAACCCAGAAATCTTATTTTTAGCTGGACTGGTACTTATTACTTTTTATCCTTTCAGGTAGTATATTTCACTGCCACTTTCCCGTACGTTATATTGTTGATTTTGTTGATAAGAGGAGCCACACTAGATGGAGCTATTGATGGAGTAAAATATTTTTTGATACCAGAATGGTCCAAACTAGCAGATCTTAAGGTATATATGGGCCATGATTGTAAAATATACAAAAAGAAAAAAAAAGATTGTTTCATTGACATTTGTACTGAATTTTGTTTTAATTCATTTCCCTGTAGTGGTAAATTAATTATAGTGGTCTCATGGTAGCATGGGTACCTAAAATGTGACAAATCCTATATTTAATCTGTAACTCTTCAAAAGTCATTTGTAAATCCTTTTAAATTGAAATTCATTTCTATACTGGGGGCAGTTTACATTTCAGCTTGGAGGGGAAACTGCAAAGAGGTTGACATGGCAGTCTAGTACAAAGCAAAAACATGTTTTTAGGACCTTCCATCGCTTTAAAATCATTGAAAATGAGAATGTGAAAAATTTTACTTTAATTTGAAATTCACATGTTTTTTTCCCTCAAAATTCTGTATTAAGACATCTATGGTTTACTTATTATAGGTATGGGTTGCTGCAGCAGGACAGATGTTTTTCTCTCTCAGTGTATCGTTTGGTGGAATTATAATGTTCGGAAGTTACAACAAATTTAGTAACAATGTATATGGGTAAGATTTGTTTTCCTTGACAGTAATCATTACAGCGTGTTTATTTTCTGTAGATAGAGAAATTAATGCATGCATTTATTATTGCGAATCCTTATAACCACTGAAAAAATCCGAAATGTGATTTATAGTTTTTAAGTTTTATTGCTGTATTATTTTTAAGCACTGGATTTCAATGAACATTTCAGAAAATCTCAAGTTGCTAATGGCATTTAAGTTTAAACAGTATTATCAATGAAAAATTATAACAATGAAGTAGTACAATTTTACATAAAATTAAGATATGGGATTCGGAAACAAGATTGGAAAAAATCTATATAAATGGCCAGAGTATGATTGAAGATTATGCATTTGTCTGCTCTGTTCACATTTGTTGCTAGTTTTATCTGCAGTACCTTTAAACACTGGTTTGTATTTATAGTGATGCCTTGTTAATTGCTGTGATGGATCTAGTTACCAGTATAATAGCAGGTTTTGTCATCTTTACAACATTTGGAGGATTAGCTAAGAAAACAGGACTTCAAGTCTCAGAAGTTGCCAGGGGAGGTAAGCAAAGATTTTTACTTTTTTAATCTCTTTTAAAGAGAGTACTTTTATAGTGTTACTTTTCAAAACATTGTAGAGCTATTGAAATGGATTTAGATAAAGAATGTGATTTTCATAATATACTTTGATTTTTTTTGTAACAAAATCTGCATGGTCTCTATTTGTGAAGCTATTTCAAAATTTAAATTTGATATTTTTCTTTGATTTATAATATTTTTTTATTATAATAATAATAACAATACTATACTAATAAAAAAACCTTAAATTATTATTAAAGATTCTTGACAGATTCGTAACTTGCAAACAAAAATCCTTTATTCCAAAATACAATTCATCAATTATATTTTTTCTGTTACAGGTTATGGATTAGCCTTTGTAGCCTACCCTGAGGCATTGTCTAACCTACCTCTACCTCAGTTATGGTCAGTTTTGTTTTTCTTCATGTTGTTTACACTTGGACTTGACAGTGAGGTAAGATAGTTAGTTGTACATTTGGTAATAGAAATAGGATTATCTCCCTTTCAAACCAATTACTTGGTTAGTGGTAACCTATACTATAGCAGCTCTTAACTGATAGTTCTTGCAAAGGACCAGTGATCAGTTTCACAAAAATTCTTATGACTAAATTTGATCGTAAGTATACTGAGTTGGTAATGACTTGCGATGAACTTTAGTCGTAAGATTTTTTGTGAAACTGGTCACAGGAGTATTAAGTGTCCATTTTGAGTTCAGATATTTCTAAAATTTAAATGGACATTAAAAGTGACCATGAAAAATCATTAAAAACAATTTATTTTTATAGTTTTCATGATGACAAATGTGAATTACCCGGTATAGAAATTCATTTTAGGAAATTATCAAAACTATACAAAAGTATTATTTTACACCAATTTTGTTTAAAAAGTTACTTTTTGCATATGAAAATTGAATTATATATTTTTGAGATTATAATGGAAATTGGTGTACTTCTTCAGTTATTGTCTAAAAGATTTTGTTGTCCTACTGAATTTAAAGGCAGGTCTTTCTGAAAACACAACTATTAAATAAACTCCACTTGCCATAGATTGATTTTAATCATTTCTGTTACCACGGAAATGGAAATGTGAATCTGTAGCATATTTTCAGAAAACTGGCTCTTCTGATGTCATGGTGTTTGAGCTTCTTTTTCTTTGAATTTTTTTTGTAAAATTTTGCCTTGAGCAAAGCTTATTAGTATTTTTAACTAGAAATAACTTCTGGATTGTATAATGAGGGGCCTGATGGGGGGGGGGGGGGGTCTCATCACGATTCACGAGTTGATTTTTTTGTCAATCACGATTCACAGAAAATAAATTTCCATGATCACGGATCACGAAAATATAAAAAAAAAAAATCTGTAGAAAAACGGATCACGATAGCGAAAATGCGCCAATCACGAAGAACGAAAATAACCCATCAGGCCCCTCTATAATGGATGATGATTTTGTATCTTTATACTCTTAAATAAATTCTCTTCAACGTAATGTGCTGCTGGAATGAAATTAAAAAAAGAATTTTGGATAGTTGAATAAAATTATTTTCAAATGTGTGCAATGATTATAATATTGTGGATTCATTTATCTTTATGGATTGATGAATAATCATATTGTTGTGGATTATTCCTATGCAAACCTTTAGGAAACTTGTATTTTGTTGAACACTGGAACCAAAGTATTGTAAAAATCTAGTTTAGATCAGTATGAAACAGAATCAACCTTTTATGCTTTTGTATTTAGTAATTGGATATACATATATGTAGTGTCATTTTTTTTTATTTTTCAGTTTGCTTTATTGGAGACAGTTTTGACATGTGTACAGGATGAGTTCCCAAAACTAAGAAAATATAAAAGTCACATGTGTATTGGTTTGGGAGTGATATGTTTCTTTATGGCTTTACCATGTGTTACACCAGTAAGTATAAATGTCACATATGTATTGTTTTGGTGGTGTGTTTCTTCTTTGCTTTACCATGTGTTACACCAGTAAGTATAAAAGTCACATATGTATTGTATTGGTGGTGTGTTTCTTCTTTGCTTTACCATGTGTTACACCAGTAAGTATAAAAGTCATATGTGTATTGGTTTGGGAGTGTGTTTCTTCTTGGCTTTGACATGTGTACCACCAGTTTATATTAAAAGTCACATATGTCTTGTTTTGTTGTTGTTTTTCTTCTTGGCTTTGCCATTTGTTACACAAGTAAATATAAAAATTACGTGCTTGCTTATTCTTGATTTCATTGAAACTGATACTAGATATATCTCTGACAAGATATATATTGAAGATTATTTAAAAAAAACAACAATGGTCTTGATGTAAGGGAAATAACTCCAGTACTTGTTAAAATTTTTAATAATATACAAAAGTTTTATTCTTTACAAACTATTTAACAAGACAATTATGAATAAAAGAAATGTAATGAAGATTTGAATAAGTTGTGAACCTATGAAATGGTTTAGAAGGTCAATATGAGATGTCAAGGGTTTTTCCCGAAGAGTAGAGGAGTACAAAATGTTTCTTGGTTTAATTTAAAAAGATGCAGAGGACACCAATGTGATCATCACTATTAAATTTTTATATGAACACAAAAAAGTATAGAGTGCATAGTATAAAAAATTGTTCAATAAGGTATAGAATTTAGAAAAAATATAAAATGATATTCAATATTTTTATAAATTTAATAATGTATTGCATTATTTGTGCAGAGTGTTTTTAGATTAGATATTTAGTTTAGGTATGTGAAAATCCAAACCAAATTGGCTTGAAGAAATCTCTAATGAAAGTAGTTTATGAAGACCAATTTTCATATGAATTATGAATTAATTTTAAGTTGTTTGCACACACTGAACTTGTTTGTAAAAAGTGTTTTACTTTCTTACAGACAGGAGATTATATAGTAGGATTGATGGACAGTTATGGCGCTGATTTCTCTGTATTATGTGTAGCTACTTGTGAATGTGTAGCCGTACTATGGGTTTATGGTAAGTTAATCTTATATTCTTTAAACAAGAGATTAGAAAGGGTTTAAATGAAGGATTATGTCTTCTTTTTTTATGAAACACATATGAAAGAACCTTTAAATCGATAAAAATATTAATGGCCAATTAAATTTGACATAATTTGAACTTTTTTACAATGTTGAGATTTATTTTTAATGAAGCTACTTTAATACAGATTTTGTGATATCTGGTCGAAGTAGGAATGTTTAGGCCATGGTCCAGTCTGGAGAATGCAATACTAATTACATGAAGTAGTGTGACAACACACTTGGTGTGTCCAAAGTTATCCTGATGTTACTCTTAATTCTTCCCTACCTTATATAGCCCATTGTTTTAAAATTTCAGCCAGAGTTACCTGCCCTTTATCCTAATATACCAACTTTTCATCAGATTCTTGTCATTGTTATTCATACCAATTATGTTTTATCTATAATTATTTAAAATCTTTTAACTTTTTTTTACAGGAGTGACAAGATTTATACATGATATTGAATTTATGTTGGGTAAAACACCAAGGCCAACAACATATTGGTTGTTTTGTTGGGTGTTAGCTTCACCACTACTTATTGGGGTAAGATAATACTTAACGAGTCATTTTCAAATCAATATATGAACAACTAGATCTTAATAGACACTATACTGTGGATTCATTATTATTCGTGGGATACCAATTTTCGTGGATTTTGTCGGTACAGATAAACCGTGAATTTAAAGGTTCAACGAATTACACATTTTCTATAAGGTTGTATGCAGACTTTGGCAAAACCACGAAATCAAATATCCACGGAAATACCAGTTTTTCTCAATCCACGAAAATTAGTACCCACGAAAATAAATGAATGCACAGTATCAGGAAATTTGTGCATGTGTATTATAAATTTCGCTGCCTGAAGTCTGCATTTTCTATAAAATATACTCTTCACAACATAAAATTGTCCATTTTTAAAATGCACTGTAGAAAGCTGAAAAAAGGAAACACAGTGACTGAGTGAACAGTGGAGATTTAACTGCACCTTCTAAGGCCCATATTGTATACAAACTAATGCAAAATTCTCCCTTTTAGACTGTTATACATAAAAGGTGAATGAATCGCCCAAAGTACTGTCCAGTACAAAATAGCACATAAAATTTTTTACCAAAAGTACTGTCTAGCACTGAAAACCACATGAAAAGGAATCACTGAAATAACTGTCCAGCACAAAATACCACATCAAAAGAAATCACTGAAAGTACTGTCCAGTAAAAAATACCACATCAACCAATAAACCCCGACTCCCAAAAATTATTGTGATTTTTGAAGAATGGACAAAAATGCAAGATTATTTTTTGCAATATCAGGAAAATATGCATACAGATATATGTATCAGATATCAGAATGTGACTTCTTATTATTACGTTATCACGAAGTCGCATTATTCGCATTAATAAAATCCCTCAATAATTTCTGAATTTACAGTAATGTAAAATAATCTTTTCACACATCATTCTATATTTCATGCACAACTTCTTTATACTGCTAAAACTGAATTCTATATATAAACAGATATTTTGACAATTAACATTATAAAAGTTGCATGGTCTGTTTGTATACTATAAGATTGACAATGTACCTAAAATAAAGTAATATTTTAACCATAGTTTATGTATCATGTTGACTTTATTTATTACAGGGTCTGTTTTGTTACCGTCTTATTGAGTATGTACCACCTAAAGTAAAAGATGGAGTATTTTACCCAGAATTTGCTCAGATTATTGGATGGATAGTGACTGCCATAGTGTTGTGTCCTATACCTTTGTATTTTGTTTATAAATTCATCATAACTCCTGGCAAAGTCACCGATGTGAGTATACAGTCAACTATATGACATTGTTGTTTTTTGTAGGTGTTGCTTTTTAATTCTAAAATTGCTCTCTTTTACAAAGCCATTTTCTTATTCCAACAAAACATTGGGTACACATGCTTTAAGTTACAATTGAATTTTACAAAAATCGTCTCCTGAAACACGGTAATGGCAGATGCCAAAATAAGGGCTTTGAACATAGTATCTTTTGTTGGAAAATTCACTCATCCTGAACATGCATGAAATATTTGCCACTGGATGTTAAGCAACCAACAATCAATGAAAAATTCACACTTTTTAATGAAATGGTAGGGTAAACCATTTTAATAACAAAATGTACTCGATGCAAACAATATAATTGGATGGATAGTGACTGCCATAGTGCTATACATTTGTATTTGTTTACAATATAATTGTACACCTATACAAAAATGAAAATATTATCCGAGTAGATAGAATATCCAATAATCCACATGGCACTCAAATTCTTATACTGTGGATTCATTAAATTTAGTGGGTACCAATTTTCATGGATTGAGGAAAGATTGTGCTTCTTTGATACATAACGGTAATTTGAGGTTTTAACAAGGTTTACACAAAGGCATATGTAGGGAATTAGTACTTTGTTGAACACATGAATTTTTTGTTATCTATCTATATACAAACACCTTGAAAGTTAGTACTCTACAAGTAAAATGAATCCATAGGTTGTATAAATTTCTGATAATTATTGTAGTTTACATTGTTCTTAGTACACCAAATGTGAACTTTCTCACTGTTTATCACTATACTGTAGTTTAAATTGTTCTTAGTACACCAAATGTCAACTTTCCCACTGATAATCACTACTGTAGTTTACATGGTTCTTAGTACACCAAATGTCAAACTTTCCCACTGATAATCACTACTGTAGTTTACACGGTTCTTAGTACACCAAATGTCAACTTTCCCACTGATAATGACTACTGTAGTTTACACGGTTCTTAGTACACCAAATGTCAACTTTCTCACTGATAATCACTACTGTAGTTTACATTGTTCTTAGTACACCAAATGTCAACTTTCCCACTGATAATCACTACTGTAGTTTACATGGTTCTTAGTACACCAAATGTCAAACTTTCCCACTGATAATCACTACTGTAGTTTACACGGTTCTTAGTACACCAAATGTCAACTTTCCCACTGATAATGACTACTGTAGTTTACACGGTTCTTAGTACACCAAATGTCAACTTTCTCACTGATAATCACTACTGTAGTTTACATTGTTCTTAGTACACCAAATGTCAACTTTTCCACTGATACTCACTACTGTAGTTTACATGGTTCTTAGTACACCAAATGTCAACTTTTCCACTGATAATCACTACTGTAGTTTACATGGTTCTTAGTACACCAAATGTCAACTTTTCCACTGATAATCACTACTGTAGTTTACATGGTTCTTAGTACACCAAATGTCAACTTTTCCACTGATAATCACTACTGTAGTTTACATGGTTCTTAGTACACCAAATGTCAACTTTTCCACTGATAATCACTACTGTAGTTTACATGGTTCTTAGTACACCAAATGTCAACTTTTCCACTGATACTCACTACTGTAGTTAACATGGTTCTTAGTACACCAAATGTCAACTTTTCCACTGATAATCACTACTGTAGTTTACATTGTTCTTAGTACACCAAATGTCAACTTTCTCACTGATAATCATTACTGTAGTTTACATGGTTCTTAGTACACCAAATGTCAACTTTTCCACTGATAATCACTACTGTAGTTTACATGGTTCTTAGTACACCAAATGTCAACTTTCTCACTGATAATCACTACTGTAGTTTACATGGTTCTTAGTACACCAAATGTCAACTTTTCCACTGATAATCACTACTGTAGTTTACATGGTTCTTAGTACACCAAATGTCAACTTTCTCACTGATAATCACTACTGTAGTTTACATTGTTCTTAGTACACCAAATGTCAACTTTCTCACTGATACTCACTACTGTAGTTAACATTGTTCTTAGTACACCAAATGTCAACTTTCTCACTGATAATCACTACTGTAGTTTACATGGTTCTTAGTACACCAAATGTCAACTTTCTCACGGATAATCATTGTAGTTTACATTGTTCTTAGTACACCAAATGTCAACTTTCTCACTGATAATCACTACTGTAGTTTACATTGTTCTTAGTACACCAAATGTCAACTTTCTCACTGATAATCACTACTGTAGTTAACATTGTTCTTAGTACACCAAATGTCAACTTTCTCACTGATAATCACTACTGTAGTTTACATTGTTCTTAGTACACCAAATGTTGAGGGGGGTAGGACCTTTATCGGGACTCCAGGATTGGGTGTTTTTAAGCTCGGGATTTCGGGATTGATCCTTTCGGGGATCCAGGAATTCTTTTTTCGAAATTTCGGGATGTCGGGATTTAAATTTTTCTAAATTTGGGACCTCTGGATTCCATGTTTTTAAGCCCGGGATTTCGTGATCAGGACCCCTCCTACCCTCCCCTCATTGTTCTTAGTACACAAAATGTCAACTTTCCCACTGATAATCACTACTGTAGTTTACATGGTTCTTAGTACACCAAATGTCAACTTTCTCACTGATAATCACTACTGTAGTTTACATGGTTCTTAGTACACCAAATGTCAATTTTCCCACTGATAATCACTACTGTAGTTTACATTGTTCTTAGTACACAAAATGTCAACTTTCTCACTGATAATCACTACTGTAGTTTACATGGTTCTTAGTACACCAAATGTCAATTTTCCCACTGATAATCACTACTGTAGTTTACATGGTCTTAGTACACCAAATGTCAACTTTCTCACTGATAATCACTACTGTAGTTTACATGGTCTTAGTACACCAAATGTCAACTTTCTCACTGTTTATCACTACTGTAGTTTAAATTGTTCTTATTACACCAAATGTCAACTTTTCCACATTTTATATTTACAGAGACTTAAAACATTAACTACACCAACTGCTGATTGGGGACCCAATACCAAGACAAAATTAATCAATGCTGACTCACAGTTAACAGACATTGGAAAAGCAGCCTATGCTTATGACAACCCTGCTTCACGATTATAAATAAAACTATAGCAACATTAGATTTAATGACAAAGATATCATATATAAGTAATTGTTCTTCTTTGAAGTATATTTCAAAATGAATTTATCAGACTTAGTTTCAGGGTACTAGAATAACACAGAAATGCAGAGCTATTTTTAACTTTTACTCAGAGGAGAATTTTGTGAATGAAACCCATCACAGATATATTGTAAATATGTCTAATCTACTTCGACTTTTTTCAGTATTTTAAATAGATTCCAACATAATTTTAGTGCTGAATGTACATATTTTTATATTTTTTACTTTTTAAATACAAGATTTATAGAATGCTTTACAAGTGAATTTAAAATTATAAGTTCAAAAAATTACATTTCTTTTATTCTATATGACATTATTTTTTATCTTAAAACCTTCATTTTTTAAAAGTGATGAATTGAAATTTTTTATGATTTTTAATTTGTTTTTGGTATAAGATGAACATACCTGATAAAATAAGAAATGATTAGTCAGAAGTGATATGAAGTTAAATATCAAAAGACATACCTTCTGAAAGCAGATTCCATTATAAAGTAAAATAACAATTTTGCTAGTATTTCAAATGTTGCATACAAAAGATATATTTCAAATGTTGCATACAAAAGATACATTTCAAATGTCGCATACAAAAGATACATTTTATATGTCGCATACAAAAAATACCTCATTTGTGTTATAAGAACCAATTTATATCTTTGTGATGTTAATTGTAATTAAGATTTTGTCTTCTTTTGAATGAACTATGTTTTCAATGTTAAATTTACATATCATATACTTTAGTTGCACATATAAGTTAGTCAAGATTGACCTTAATTGAGAAATTTATGATATACAAAAGTCCTAGATTTAAATTTTGAAGGCAACAAACAAAATTTTCTTTTTGATTTATTATAATAAGTTAAATTTGGATTTATGTAAACAGGTCCCTTGGGTTTAATTTTTGTTCTTTTGAGTGAATTATCCAAAAAGTATATTTTTTACAACAAAAAAAAAAGAATTTACACAACAAGGGTTATGAGTACTTAATAATTATGTCTGCATGAGTTTGATATAAAGATGTTCACACTTTCATGACATTCCTTTAATTTATGACCTTTTTATATGTATATAATTTCCTTTCTACAATTTTATAGTTGTTAAACACATCAAACCAGATTTTTTTTACAAGTTATATATATATATACATTTGTACATATCATGTATATCATATCATAATGAGGAACGAACTATGTTTTACTGATTAATACATTGTAGGTCTGTATCTGTCTAGTATTATTATATAGATTGGGCAAGGATCTGTGTGGTCATTTTCTTGTATCCGTGTTTCCAAATATTACATGAACTATTTAAAGTTGTTTGGATCAAGACTAAAATTCATATTAACCTAAATATTTAATTCATAATTGCTTGGAATGACTTACAATTCAGTGGTGTTGCAAAATCAAATTTTACTGAAAAGATATCTTTCCATAGTAATTACATTGAAAATGTGACAAGAAATTTTAACAGATGTAACAAATCAGAATTTGAGTGATATAAAAGTGATTATATTTTATTCTCGAGATAGAAATTGTTGTATTTTTAAACAAAAATATTTTTAAGAAAATTTCAGTATTTTTATAATCATTGACATGTGATTTGTTGATGAAATTTTATTGTTATTGATATTGTTGAAATCCATGAATCGATTGTTTGTACAGTTCTCATTCAAAATAAATAGATACAAACATTTATTGTTTTTTGTTTTGAGTTTGCTGTTTCATAGACATATACACCCTTCAACTCTGTTTAATACAAACTGGACGTTATTTTTATCCTTCATCAGTTTTTGTATCACCTGCAACAAATTTGGAAGAATGCAAGACATACAGATGCTTTATGGTCTGAAGATTCCATCTGGCAGTTAGTTGTGATTTACATCATTTTCATATTTGGCATATAGAATTATTGCAAGGTATAAATCAGACATGATTGTTACCTCACCTGGTTAAAGGGCTGTGTCTTTATACATAGAATGTCTATTATGAAGTTTGTGATTTTTGTCTAGACTCATCAACCAACATGGCCACTGAGGCTAAAAATAGAACAGCGTTCAAACAGCAGTTTTAGGCAAATATCTCAAACTACTGTGGATTCATTTATTTTCGTGGGTATCAATTTTCGTGGATTGAGGAAAACTTGCATTTTCGTGGATATTTGATTTCGTGGTTTTGCCGATCTCTGCATACAAAGCCTAAAGAAAATTTGTAATTCGTTGAACATTTGAATTCGTGGTTCACATGTACCCACGAAATCCACGAAAATTGGTATCCAATGAATAATTATGAATCCACAGTATAGCAATAAGAAACTAACAAGGTACAAATGGTTGTAACATAAGGTTTTTCAACCTGGAAATAATAGAAAAATCTGTTGACCTGTTTTAAGAGGTATTGCCCTTGAAATTTGGAATTTTTTTTTTTATCTTTCTTGGCAGTTCCTGGCTTTTGTTTCAAGAAGAATGAGGTATGTTAAATGATAAATCGCAAAATGATCACCATGGCAAGCTTTATCTACCTGAAACTTTTCAATAAAATTTGAAGACATTATATAGAGAGTAATTGCCCCTGAAATGTAAAGCTTAAACATTTTTTTAGTTTTTGTCTGATCTTGATGTTGACCTTATTTCATGGATCAGTGATCAAGGTTAAAGTTGCATGATTAGGACTGTTTCTCAAATACTGTAAGCAGTAAGTCAACTATTTTTGGTGTATGTCATATATTGTAAGCAGTAGGTCAACTTTATTTGTTGTGTGGAATGAGAGTATAAGGTGTACATGTCAGTCCTGCAGGTTTTATCTCACCCTGACCTCATTTTCATGGTTCATTGGTCAACATTTTTTTGTGTTTTGGTCAGTTTTTCAAACATTATAAGCAATAGGTCAACTATATCTGGTGAATGTAATGATTGTTAAGTGTGCATGTCTGACAGGAATCATCTGTCATTGACCTCATTTTCATGGTTCATTGGTCAATGTTAAGTTTTCGTTGTTGGGTCTCTTTCTTTGATACTACAAGCAATAGGTAAACTATAGTTGGTGTATGGATTGATTATAAGGTGTGCATGTCTGTCTGGCAGGGTTTATAACCTTGATTACATTGTCATGGATAATTGATAATGTTAAGTTTATGGAAACTTGTAGTAATGTCAGTAATACCTTTGATTTCACCTTTATCCATAAGACTTTCAAAGTAAAATCAATCATGGTCAGTAAAGCAAGCGAAACATTTCAGCGTATGCACTCTTGTTACTGTTTTGGGGTAGTTATCTCTTAAACGGAAGGAGCTAGGTTAAAAGTGTAAACTACATAATATAAGTAGTATGTAAAATAATGGTTTCATTAGTAGACTTGCCACCAGGTGAACATCTGTATCTACTTTTGAGGGGCCTGATGGGTTATTTTCGTTCTTCGTGATCGGCGCATTTTCGCTATCGTGATCCGTTTTTCTACAGATTTTTTTTTATATTTTCGTGATCCGTGATCATGGAAATTTATTTTCTGTGAATCGTGATTGACAAAAAAATCAACTCGTGAATCGTGATGAGACCCCCCCCCCCCCCCCCCTCCCATCAGGCCCCTCACTTTTGAACAGAATTCTGCTTAATCAAATCTATAATTAATTAATACTGAATATTTCATAGTAATTTTAGTTTGGGTTATTTAATGTCATTCTTTTTTTCTGTAAGCAAATTCTTGTATGATATACCTGTCTACCAAAAAGGACTCATCTGACCTTTTTTTATAAAGTCAGTTTCTCATAAAATTTAAATGAAAGGTCGTCTATATTTGGTTTTAGTAATGGTTGTTATAGGTAAAGTATATCAAAGTTTTTAAAATAGTTGTAAGGTGTACCTGGTATTACTTAATCGTTATAGTAATCTCATGGTGTACTAGTCCGTCTGACGGTTCACCTGACCTTGATCCACTGGTAAACATCAAATTTTACGTGATTAGAACAAAACAACAAGGAGATGTGGCGTGATTACCAATGAGACAACTATCCATAAAGGCCAAACTTGGAAGAAAGATGTGAGAAATTACAGGTTGCTCTTTATCCTTCAACAATAAGCAAAACAACACAATCTATAAAAGATTCCGGTATGACAAAATGTAAATTGTTCAAGATTAAACCACCTGTCTGATTATACTACAACAATGTACACCAAACAAATATGTCAGACGACCACCAAAGACGACAACTGGATTAATTGCAGGCTGCTGACTTAATACAGGCACATTAAGAATGTGGCAGTGTTCAGCACGTTGGTGAGCACCCCCCCCAAACCTGATTGGACAATGTTGTAGCAACATAAGTACAACACTGTAAATATCAGTTGGAAATGGCTTGCCTCGTTAGATGGGTACTAAGCATAAAAACAGATCACAAAAATGCAAGACACTAAGCTTCGATCTACTGAGAGTACTTAGTAACTGAAAAGTAGTTCAGAGCCAAATTTCAAGTTCAACTAATAGTAATAGATTAACCATATTTTTCGAGACAAAAATGCCAATTCGTACACATTCAACGCATATAATTTGTAAAGACATAAGACATCTAAGAAAAGCAATTACCTTGTGCTGTGCAGGACTGGATACAATGCATATATAGATTTGTATAAAACTATTCAAATAAAACCAACATTAGTACTGATAAAGACAATAAACAAAGACCTCAAAGAGACATCAAAGAGAGCGTTTGGGTGTATTTGATATTTTTTTATTTGTTTGGTATTAATGTTCAAAGTGCACGTAGAATGTTTTTGTTATCAGATCTTATTGCTGATATTTGAAAAAGTAAGACATTTTTAATCCAAAAATTACATTCCCCTACTTGTTATTGAAGTAAGGGACGAGCCTAGCTAGTCTAGCCTATGTGAAAATCGTAACGTTTCGATCCTGTTGTTAAGAAATTGAATTTCTTTCATTATTAAATTACTACTATTTTCTTATCGTATGTCCGATACGCTTCAAAATCAAAAGTAAACTCAAGCTCAAGTTCACTTAATCTCTTAAAACACATTATACAGCAGTCGTTTTAGTATAATTAGCATGATTGCAGATTAAAATTGTGCAAAAAATAATATGCAACTCAATTACCAACACAATAAGCACTTGAGTGTAGTCTCGTTTTTTTTCAGGAATTCGTATAGCTTAATTGTTAGTTTCTATGTAGTGTATTGAAATTGTTGAGTGCTGTTTTTTTTCCCGTCCTGTTCAAATTGAGTAGAGACAGTATATATGTCTCTGACTTGAGTCAGTAATTTCTGATTTTTTTTCGATTTTTGGGGATAGATAACTCTTTAGTGTTTTCTTCCTACTGTAATCCAGGATGATGATAACCAGCTTGTCTAAACTTGCAAAAATCCTCCTACCTCGCTAGATACTAGTGGGATGAAACCAATTTTGCGTGATTGCTGTCAATATCAGGAAGAAAGTAGTTACAATTCACAGATTTAGTGCACCATATGAAGATGTATTGAGGCCAAAAGTTGGTCAACTTAAACTCGACACACATGCAGTTTATATATGTAGTAACTATATCTACTGACACAATTAATACAAAATACTTTTTGTTAAATTTCTGAATCTTATGGCCTTAAGTTTGTCAATATAAACAAAAACAGAACCTCCTTAGATGCTTTTTAACTCAAACATTCGGTTTATTGCAACGGCGAAAATTGTACATTTGGTTATCATTTCTAAATCAAACATAGTTGTGTCCCCCCTTTCCACTTTTTGATAAAGAAACACTAATTGACGTACTTCTAGACTACAAGACTACAGAAAACGTTGGGTTTTATTTTTTTCCTTGACACTTTCAAAATTTGCAGCCCCTCTTAATTTTTATGATGAAAACAAGTATCACTTATGTAATTAATTTTATCAGATTAAAAGTCAAATAATATTGCTGAATGCCATAACCACAGAAGTCTAAACAAAAAACTTGATTAACCTTTAAAATTCAATTGCTGGTTATTTTCCGAACAGAGTGATCTTCTATTCCAAGGCTGTGTCTGGCGGAGAAGGGTCTATTCGAACAAAAGATGAAACGGTCGGATATGGATGTTCGTGATAACGACATGTGTCTGGAATAATCTTCAACAGACATTAGGAGCGGGTCAAGGATTTTTGAAAGTTGGCGTAATTCCATAAAGAGGTTATATACCGCCGAGCGAAGAAACAAATTTGGACGACTTTATGCTAAAAAAATCATATAAATCGTGAAAAAATGATATAATAACTTTCTTCGGCGATCAAAAGGGGGGTCGTACGCCCTCTACGTCCCCCTGGATCCGCCACTGAATATTGAAGTCGAGTCCACCTGCCACGTGCGGAATTCGAACTCACAACCTCAGTATTGACAGGCTAGTGATACAGTAGTTTGACTACTTAGACTACTCGGCCACCCGAGGCCTTACCTTTAACAGACATGCACAATAATTTAACCATCAACAGACATGCACAGTAACTTTCAACAGACATGCACTATAACTATCAACAGACATGCACAGTAAAATTCAACAGACAAGCACTATAACCGTCAACAGACATGCACAGTAACATTCAACAGACATGCACAATAACCTTCAAAAGACATGCACAAAAACCTTCAACAGACATACACAGTAACCTTCAACAGACATCCACAATAACATTTAACAGACATGCACGACAAAAGATTATTTTTTA